TTATCATTAGAGACGACGATATCCAATCGGGTGTCATTATTAAAATCACCAACAGCTACAGATGAAGGACTAGTCCCAGTTGAATAGATCATTTGATTTGCAAAAACACCATTGCCATATCCAAGAAGGACACTCATAGTGTTGTTATTCCAATTAGTGACGACGATATCCAGTCGGTTGTCATTATTAAAATCATCAATAGCTACAGAACTTGGTCCAAAGCCAGTTGAATATATCGTTTGATTCGTGAAAGAACCATTGCCATATCCGATAAGTACACTTATAGTGTTGTCATCATAATTAGTGACAACGAGATCCAGATGGGTGTCGTTGTTACAATCACCTATAGTTACAAACGCTGGCGCAGCACCAGTTGAATATTTCGTTTGATTTGCAAAGGAGCCATTGCCATATCCGAGAAGGATGCTTACAGTGTTGTCACCAAAATTAGCAACGACGATATCCAATCGAGTATCGTTATTAAAATCACCAACAGTTACAGGCCATGGTTTATACCCTGTTGAATATGTCGTTTGATTTCCAAAAGAGCCATTTTCATATCCGAGAAGTACACTTAAAGTATTGCCATGATGATTAGCAACAACGATATCCGGTCGGGTGTCGTTGTTAAAATCACCAACAGTTACAGAAATTGGGCCAGCGCCAGTTGAATATGTCGTTTGATTTGCAAAAGAGCTATTACCATATCCGAGAAGGACACTTATACTGTTGTCATTTCTATTAGCGACGACGATATCCAGATTGGTGTCGTTGTTAAAATCGCCAACAGCTACAGACATTGGGCTAGAACCAGTTGAGTATGTCGTTTGATTAGTAAAAGAACCATTTCCATATCCGAGAAGTAAGCCAACAGTGTTGTCTCCTTGATTAGCGACGACTATATCAAGGTTGTTGTCATTATTAAAATCGCCAAGAGCTACAGATCCGGGCCCATTTCCAGTTGAATATTTAATGTAATTACTGAAAGATCCGATGTCGTATGTTACCAGCACATCTACATAATCGATGTCATCATATGCAACGAAAATTTCTGAACTCCCATCTTTGTTGAAACTACCAGCACCAATCATCAGTGGAACGAAATCAAAATGTATACCGTAACGTCCTTGATTTTCAAATGTTCCATTTCCACTTCCCAGAAACGTAACAAGATTTTTAGTACCATAATTGGCCACGGCTATATCTGCTTGACCGTCTCTATTGAAATCATGAATAGTGATGGAGTATGGATGAGAATTTAAGCCTGTTGAGAGCACCATTTGATTTCCAAAAGTGTCATTCCCATATCCAAGAAGGACACCTATGTTATTAGTACCATAATTGACAACAGCGATATCCAATAGGCTATCGTTATTGAAATCAAAAAGGGCAAAGTTTCGCAAACGAGAACCATCGGTAGGCGCAAATGTGATTTTATCTTTCAAAGCTCCTCTGTCATATCGAAGTAGAACACCTACAGTATGGTCATTCCCATTAGCGACGACAATATCCGGTCGAGTGTCGTTATTAAAATCATCAACAGCTACAGCAATTGGGCCAGAGCCAGTTGAATATGTCGTTTGATTTGCAAAAGAGCCATTGCCATATCCAAGAAGGATACTTACAGTGTTACCACCAAGATTAGCAACGACGATATCCAGTTGGGTGTCGTTGTTAAAGTCACCAACAGCTACAGACATTGGGCTAGAACCAGTTGAATATATCGTTTGATTTGCAAAAGAGCCATTTCCATATCCAAGAAGGACACTTACAGTGTTGTCATCCCGATTAACAACGACGATATCCAGTTGGCTGTCATTATTAAAATCACCAACAGCTAGAGCTATTGGGACAGAGCCAGTTGAATATTTTGTTTGATTTGCAAAAGAGCCATTGCCATATCCGAGAAGTACACTTATAGTGTTCTCACCAAAATAAGCAACGACGATATCCAGATGGGTGTCGTTGTTAAAATCACCAACAGCTACAGAGACTGGCAGAGAGCCAGTTGAAAATGTCTTTTGATTTGCGAAAGAGCCATCACCGTTTCCGAGAAGTACACTGACAGTATTGTCACCAGCATTAGCGACGACGATATCCAGATGGGTGTCGCTGTTAAAGTCACCAACAGCTACAGCTTCTGGGCTAGAGCCAGTTGAATATGTCGTTTGATTTGCAAAAGAGCCATTTCCATATCCGAGAAGGACACTTACATTGTTGCTACCAAAATTAGCGATGACGATATCCAGATTGCTGTCATTATTAAAGTCACCAACAGCTACAAAGACAGGCCAAGAGCCAGTTGAATATGTCGTTTGACTTGCAAAAGAGCCATCGCCATATCCGAGAAGGATACTTACAGTGTTGCTCTCCCTATTAGCAACTACAATATCTAATCGGGTGTCATGATTAAAATCACCAACGGCTATAGAGTATGGAGAAGCGCCAGTTGAATATGTCGTTTGAATAGGAAAAAATTCGTCATAGCCAAGCATGATACCTATAGTGCTTGTATCATTGTTGATGAAGGCAATGTCTGAACGATTGTCGCTATTTAAATCACCTATGACAATGGAGATTGATGAAGAAGATCCAGTTGAATACATGTTTGGACTCGCAAAAGTACCGTTGCCATAGCCGACAAGTAGAGCTACATTGTGAGTACCATTATTGCTTACAACAACATCCATTCTATTGTCGTTATTGAAGTCACCAATGCCAATAGAATATGGAGAAGCAGTGCCGAGGGAATATGTCGTTTGTCTTATAAAAGTTCCGTTGTCACTCCCAAGAAGTATACCCACACTGTTATTTCCATGATTGGTAACAGCAATATCTAGTATGGTGTCTTCATTTAAATGACCGACGGCAAGGGAGTATGGATGAGAATTAGGACCAGTTGAAAATGTGATTTGCCTTGCGAAAGTGCCGTTAATAGCCCCAAGCATGATACCGACATTATTGGTACCATAATTGGTGATAGCAAGATCCATCTGCTTGTCATTGTTGAAGTCGCCACTGACAACCGCATACGGGAAAGAATCATACCCCGTAGAGAATGTGCTTGACGCTGAAAAACTTGCATTCCCATATCCATAAAATATGCTAACACTGTGTGTGCCGTAGTTAGCAGTGATAATATCTAATGCTGCATCATTGTTAAGATCTGCTATATGGATCCAAACAGGACGAGATGATTCAGTTGATAGAACTGTTTTGTTTGCAAAAGACCCATTTTGGAATCTAAGAAGTACACCGATGCTATTTGTACCGAAGTTGGCGACGACGACATCAGGTCGATGATCGTTGTCAAAATCGCCAACAGCAATCATGTATGGAGCAGAACCAGACCCAGTTGAAAACATGACTGGACTTGCCACAGTGCCATCGCGATGTCCAAAATATATGGCTACATTGTCAGCAGCATAATTGGCAACAACAATATCTAGCGAGGTATCGTTGTTGAAGTCTCCCATGGCAACTGCTCGTGGACCATACTTATAGTTAATTGGATTTTGGGCCGTTGCTTTAAAATTAAGTTCACATTTTGGAACTAAGTAACGAAAGAACAAAGAAATAAAGACTGATAAGTTACTATGATTTAGCTATTCCTAATGGATCGTATCAGACTTCGATAATCCTGATGATTTAGTATTTAGAATAGTCAGATTATTACAAACAAATCTGAATGAGAATCAGCACTTTTCAATAGAACATCGTTGAGTCTCGCAAAACTCCTAGTGACTGAGGAAGAACAGAGACAGTAGCTAACATAATGAGAAAACGAATTATGAACTGCCGCTAACTAAGAGTTCAAAACCACATTCGCTTCTCTTTTACTGATTCTTGAAGGACATGCCATTAGCTACAATTAGAATATAATGCTGATATTTTCGGACCGCTTCGAAATCAAATGAATGTCAGTATGTCCGTGTTGCAAAACTCTTGTCATCGCGTCATGAATATCACGCATTGTTAATTAACAACAACAATTAGAATATAATAAGTTTTTTTACGACTGTTCGAGATTACGCAATGAATAGAAAACTGACAACTTATTAGTAGTTATCACCTGAGGAGTTGAGTGATGATTGATTTCTAATGTTGAACATTTGTGATCATACTCCAATGTTACAATATGACCTGTATAGCTATATGATGGTTTCGGGTAATTGATAAGTGCTTTTTATTTGATTAAAGGGCTGAGACAGCGAATGTCTATTACTGAAAAGTTATCCTATTGGATAATGGAAAATGTGTCAGTTTAATTTTTCGCTCCAAAGAAACTTATTTTACGAAAATAACACTGTTTCAAGCTTGATCAAATGAATTTGGAGTTGAGAAATGTGAATCCATTCATGGTTTCTCAAAGTTTGTAGTATCGTTATTTTCGAGATATAGTCCTTCCAGAGAAAAAAGCTTAAGATTACACATTTCGAAAAGCTACGAACAAAGGAGGAGGACACATAAAAAGACAGATCATCTACTTGAAAACGATTCAATGGCTTCTGAGGCAGATTACAATCCTATATTTTTACTGCAGTCAGATGGCTGTACGCTAACAATAACTTTCTGAAAAGATTTGTTCGCCTGCCTATGTATAGTCTCATTTGAAAGACGAGTAAATTATCTACAAATTCTCAGATGAAAAACTAAAGTTATGTCGAGATAATAGTGTTTCTATCGATATGTCAGGTATGACAGGAATGTTCTGCCTTCTTAATTGCTTTGGAGATGGCTTCACGATGGACTGTCGTCTTCAAAGTTTGATGCAGTTTTAGACGGACTACATGCTGGTACAGTTTTCTTGTGGATATCATAATTATACAGATGAGAAACCTCCATTAATCATCCTAGATCGATTCCAGAAAACTACATAATCGGCTTCTGCTTTGTTAATATGAATACCATATGTTCTTCTAAAATGGCAATACATATGGTTGTAGTTTTAGGCACGATCAAACCTTGAAAGGCTTTAGCTAATAAAATAACTAGAAGAAAACTTCACCAACGGTTAGTCCGTCAAAAACTGCATCAAATCCTATAGAAACACTATTAGTTCATCGTAAATTCAGCTTATAGTTATTTTATTGTTGGATATAGCCGTTTGGATTCAGTGACAATATGGTCTATTAATCTGGATTAGGAACCATTGATTGGCTTTCTAAACAGATTAAATGCGGTGTCCAATGATTCGCTGTCTCATTCTGCATCGAAATAACGTATGAGGCAGATTAGATGACTAAACTTTGCATTATAATCTTTACTCACTTAATACGTTGTGTTGTACTTTTTTCTTTCAAAATGCACAGAATTTCGAGAGACCTAATTTCGACCATGCGAAAACGAGATTTTCTTTGTACAAGATGAATTCGTTTTTTCTTATTTCATCTTATTATCATCTGATAGTGTTTAGTTGAAAAAAAAACAAAATATACTACTAGATGCACCGTGAAAAGCTACACAATTTACATAGTAAAGCTTATTGTATTTGTTTTCGAAAGCAAGAAAATTTTGTGCGACAATTTTTCTCACGGTCGAAATTCGATCGCTCAAAATCTTGTCCATTTTCAAAGCAAATGTAACCCGGTATTAAGTAACTGAAATGAAAAGTGTAGCCATTTAATCGGCCTCCGCTGTTATAGACTTGTTTTGAAAATTCTGATGTGGCCAAATTCGTTTTCTTATGTGTTCTTTCTCTGGATCTCATGCTTTCGAACATTTTGGATCAAAGTTCATAAAATAGGCTTTGTTTGAGACAAAAATCAAACTGACCAATACGCTCTCACTGGCAAGTAGCACTTGCCACATACTGGTAACCGTAGTAATGCGAATGTCATACTCGTAAATATCTGTTGTTTGAGCTCAAAGTTTTCTCGTCAGTAAAACTCATAGAATGGAAAAAAATCCAAAAGAATTCGTACTATTAGCTATATCTCAATAGAGGAAGATTTTCACGGGCTAACTTCTTACAAACTCATCTTACACCTCGCTGCTTATCGTATAAAAAAAGACGATCGTTACCTAACGTTTTTCTTAATAAGGAAATTACAATGATACGAAGAATAAGAATAAAATAAAAAATCAAGAAAAGAATTGATCAGTCTAATGATGATTATAATTTGAAAAAAGAGTGAATCACGTTCTTGTTGCACCAAGAACAATGAATCATTGGCCCATCAATGCAACTCTTTTCATGGCATCTGTCTGTTTGAAATTTGACGCAAGTATCTTTAACATTCTAAAGTGGGTCAGGATCAATTTTCAAAAAAGATTTTTCAGTCAGGTGCACTTTATCATAGGTGGAAAAGGCAGAATATAGGTATAGGCGTGTGAGTTTGTAGAAGAGGAATATTCATCTAAATGGGAGTATATCGATGCTAATGTGAACAAAATTTTGGAATCTTGCTCTTCCTATTCATTATCATCATCCAATATGGTTTCTGTTTCAAGTATTTGAGGTATACTTTCCATAGAGATTAAATACAATGTGTTCTTTGTCAGACCTGATTGAAGATAGTGCATTACAGAACAATTTGTGTGATGTTAGGTTTAATAATTATAACACATTTTTATTATTGTGATATGTGAACTATGTTAAAATAGAAATGTGCTTACTATTTGTCCACTTTGTGAAAATGATCAACTACTGATCAGTTATTAGTCAGATAAAAGTATTATTTTATGACGTGTATACAAAGTTTTACAGCTTGAAGAGCTGTAACAGAAATAAATCACTAGAAAATATGTGAGAAAATGCATGAATCAAAAAGAAAGATTGAAAAAGAAAACGAATGTACCTGAACATACTAGAAAAGAAGATATATACGTATTCAAACTTGATATCAGGACGCAAAAAGATAGATATGGGATATGCATACTACTTATATTCCTTTACCGGTAGCATTAAGTGAGAAAATGTAGAGTTATGTACCGTTGAGAAGAAATATTTACTTTCGTAATGTTCTATGAGAATTGAGTTGTATTTTCTCTGATTCTTTCGTATTTCTATTATATTCAAGAATATATCGATGAGATAGAGAAAAAGAAATCAAAGATAAGCTGCTGTTTTCATTTAGTGACGTGAAAGAGTACCATCAAAAACAATAGAAGAAATGATTCTAGAAAATTGAATAAGATAAAGTTGATCTTTCGGCAATAAGTAACAATGCGTAACAACAATTTGTAGCAACCAGCTCGTGAAATTGTTGTTTTATTGACATATGAAAAAACTAAGAGAAAACGCGATAATCTTCGTCTTAGAGAAACTTACTATCTGCGTTCCTCTAGAACAAAGCGGCAACGTGATGATGCTTTCTGGAATCGTTTTCTAATCTATAATTCCTTCCAATAAGTGAAATAGGAAGGCTCGAGTTAGAGACAAAGTATCAAATCTACTGATGATGATCACCTTAGTTGATTAGCGTTCGTCAAAGGATATTTGAAATGGAAAAGTGAAGCAGTCGTAATGCTTATAATTCTGTTCTCGCCAGATGGCTTGAGAGTTTTTAACCCAGAGTCACAATACAAATGAAACAGAACCGAATAAACTGTGGATTTTTATCGTATTGAATACGAAGAATACAAAGCAATAAGTACGTACCTGCTGATTTTGGTGAAGTAAAGCAAACTACCAGTATACCTATGATCGTAAGTATACTTGTAATCATAGGCAATACAAAGGTAGGCT